TGTTGAAAGTAAACAGATTTTTTAAGCTCATTTCTTTTTTATCATCTGTAGTAATTTTTATAGCCTTAAAGTATGCAAAAAACAGAAAATCTTTTTTTTTTATAAATATCAAAAAACTCTTGTGGAAAATATTGAAAGACTCTTGAATTTTTCTTTTGTTTGGTTTTTTTTTTATAGTCACAAAAATTTTTTTATAATAATTTTAAATTTGTTTGTTTTTATTTTTGTTTTATTTTTATATTGAATTTCAAAAGTCCAATATTAGTATTTTAGTAAATTTTTTGTAAAGATGCTTATATAGGTAAAATAAGAAAATTCGATAATATTCTTTATAGAAGAACTCTTTTCAGCTTCTACTTAAAAAGGCTTTAAAAATACCATACTCGTAAAAGCATTTCTTAAAAACTAAATTGAATAGTTTTTATTTATTGTGAAATACAATTAAAAATTTTTAGGAATTACAAATATTAAAACAAAACTTTATATACCAATATGAGGAAATCTACTTAAATATTCTTGTAATTCAAAGATTATTTATCTACATAAAGCAGTTGATGCAAAATTTTACGAAAATACAAAGTTCAAATATAAGAATTTTAAATAATTTAGACCCCAGAGTTATATACCATAGTATCTTCATTAAAAAAATATATTGGATTTATTCTTCGTAGATGAAATGTGTAACTCTTATAAAACTGACACCTTTTATAGTTTGATTTCATTGATAAATTAGATTTTTAGATGATTTTTGATGATCAATTAATTAAATACAATTAATCTAGAGTTGGTAATTATTTTTGTTTTTTTATTTGGATGCGGAATTAATATTAAAGGAATTTTGTCGAATATTTAAAATTTTTGTAAATTATTCTAATTTATTAATGAATTTATTGAATATTTTCTTTTTCTTTAAATTTCTATATAAATTTAATTATTAAATTTATAATTTTAATATACAACATAAAATTAATTAATACGTAAATTTTTTTCATGTCATTATCACTCATTTTGACAATTTGATAAAAATACATAACAATTATTTTTATGATTTTATATACATATGTACATGTATGTTAATGTAATTTGAAATATGTCAAATTTATTGACATTTTGAAATTTAATTTTTAAAATCAATGAAATATATCACCTATAAACTATCACTTACCTGCCTATATACCGAAAATCTAAAATATTTGCTTTCATTCACAATACGTCAAGTATATACGAGTATTATTATATATGTGTACATGTGTATGTAGAAATATTAATTAATTATATTGAATTTTTACTATATTTTATAATTACATGTGAATATATATATATATGTGATGGTAAGCGTATACATATATACGAACATATAATACCAAATCGTAAAATTTTGACAATATTGAAGTATGATTTAGTGTTCAATGTTCAATGTGCGAATATAATTGCACAAAAATTAAAAATTCAATTTTATTCTTGAAAATCTCAAGTTTATTTACATTTTATAACTTTTGTTACATACATACATACATATATGTATATCTATATAATGGTTATACTATATTCTTATAAATGTTAAAATTTTACACATTATTGTATGAGAAGATTTGTAGTTTACATTTCAACTTCATTTATAGTTTGGTAAATTTTGATTACGCAAAGCTCATTAAATATTATGGAAGGTTCTATATAGTACCAAAATCAAATACAAAATCATACATACAAAGTTATGTACAATGTTCTGTGCTTCAACCTATTATGCATAGTAAGGTTTGATTTCATTGTATAGTCAAATATTTATACATGTACATGTGTGTATTTCTCCCTATTACAAAATTTTGGTTATTAGTTAAGAAATTCAAATATGTGAAAGAAAAATAATTTCACCTACAATTCAAATAAGAAAAAAATTACTTTTCAATATGCTTACCAAACTTTCCTCTTGTTTAAATTTTTACATATGCACACATACTCTTATATTAATATGAAAATATTCTTATATGTGCTTACGGACCTAAACTAATTTACATATGTATATATAGAAGCTATACTTAGAGTATGGTGTAGTATAATATATCGCTTTTTTATTTTACTTATTTTTGCATATAACAATTGAATTTTAGTTCTTATTAATTTCTTTAAATGTCTTATTTAATTATGAATAAGGTAAGAAAATCTCCAATATCACATAAGAATACACATAAGAATACGTTGCACATAATATAAATAATTTATAAAAAAAAACACAGGATTTTCTTAAAAATATTTAATTTTTCTTTTCATTTAATTTAAAAAAATTTGCACTACTAATTACTATTATGTTTTTTATCACAAAAAGTTTTTTATCACAAAAGGAAAAAGAATAGTAATTATAAAATTTTGTTAAAATTCTTCTGAAAAATTTTCTTTCCTTTTTGCAATTTAATTCAAAATTTTACGTAGTATTTACTACATAATTATATATTTTAATGTTATATTTAATGCTTTATAATAATTTCATTTTAAAATCATTTATATTTATTCTTACAATATATTTATATACATATATTTATATTTAAATATGACTAGTACCTCCTATAGCTTTTATTAACATTCACTATAAGAGTTGTAAAAAAAATCATAAAATATGAAAAATTTCATTATGAAACTTTGGACAAAAAGAAAATAGCATTTTAAAACAAAGAAATTATTATAATAGAAAGAAGAAAATTTCTTGCCATTTTATATATGTAGCTCAAAGTTGTTTATAATTTACGAATTCATATACTTATAGCTATATCTTCTTCTCTAATCATAAATTGAAACAAAAAGTTTTATGCTTTTACCAAATTTTTAAAATTGAAATTCATATTTTGAAGAATAAAAATAGTAAATATGTGATACATATGTGTGTACATATAGGCCGTACAGAAAATATTATTCTAAAAAGTTGTTATAATAAGAGTTTAAGATTAAGACTAAAAAGACTGGAAGTAGTAACATAGAAAATTAAGAAAAAATTTCAATTTAGTTTACTTTCTATACCATAGATTTACCAATTTATTGCCAATACTGTTATACCTATTATACTGTTATACTGTTATACTGTTATACTATTATACTGTTATACTGTTATACTATTATATTGTAATACTGTTATACGTATAACCGTTTGGTATATAAAATTCCAATACCACGACAATAAAATTTCAAGAAGTGTCCACTATTGTTATTTCATATTTCTAATTTCTAACCATTTATTGCGAAAATATTGAATTTGAATGGAAATTTAATTTGTTCGAAATATTAATTTTTAATTTGTTTTATGAAAATATTAATTTTAATTATGGAAAATTAGTTTTCATTAAATGAAAACTTTATACTAAAATTAAATTCGGAAATTGATTTCTTGTTATTTCTAATATAAATTAGATATAACAAGAAAGTGATAAAATTTAAAGCAAATAGCAACAATATAAAAGAAATTCCGAATGAAAATTCCAATATAAACTATTTTGGGTATAAACGCAAAATTCAACGTTATTAAACTGTATAATGTATCCGAAAGAAGTGTAAGGAAAGAAAAACAGTTTTTTTTTTTTTAATTTTTGGTTTAGTACTTTCTAGATTGCAATTAAAAAATAAACATGTCCTTATTAAATTATTTTTTTTTTAATATTTCTGAAAAATAAAAAAATAATTTTAGTTTGGTCATATTTTTCATGAGTTTCAATTAATATTATTTATTAAAGTTTCTAATTAAAAGCTTAGGTAGAAGTACAATTATTTAAAAAACAAAGTGATTCATACATAGCGATATAAAGACACATAGATAAATAATATCACATATATAATAAGTGTATTAAATAATATAATCCCCTGTAGGTTCTTAGGTATATTTATTATATATTATATAAGTTTCTTACATTCTGTATGAAATTATAATATAATAATTACAATATAGAAAAAAATTTAATTAGAACTTTGTTATTATTTTCATTTAAAACTTATAATAGGATTAAATTTAAATAGGAAATAAAGAACGTAGAATGCATTTAATATCCTTTACATGTAAAATAATTTTTTAAATAATTACCCTATTCGAAATACAATGCAAATTTTAGACATACATGCATAATACTTATACTTATAATCACGTTTTATGTTACGTAATTTTACGAATTCGTAAAAGCACAATTACTTTAAATTTTAAAACAACTTAAATATTATTCAACACAGTTTGCATTGTATGGGAAAATTAAATAAAAAGCATAATTATAATCAAGGCAGCTTAATTACATTATTTATGTAGATAAACTTTATACATTTTATAAAAAAATATTCTCTAAGTTATAAAATTTCATAAGCAGAAGAGTTTTCCATCAAGAAAAGATTAACACACCCTATTAATAAAGTATTACTTTTACCCACCTATTAACAAAGTATTACTTTAAAAGTAAAACTTTAAATAGTTCACAAGAATATTTGATTCACAAACATACTTTGTATATCGTTTATTCGCATTATATATTTTCGATTAACATATTCGAAATAATTACCAGCATATGTACATTTACAACATTAAAATAAAACAATTATTGGCTGCTGAGTTTACCATAGTCAGTACAATGATATACTCACGTTACTAAAACGTTTTAATTCATTTGGAAGTAAGGATTGAATAATGAAGTAATATCTACAACATTTGCTATTTTTTAAAAGACATTTAAATATTAAAAAATCTGTGCGTATCTGGCTTTATCTTCCAAAAATTTCCTACCAAGGACACATAGAATTTGATACATTTCATATGGTTTTTTAAAGCTCTCTGAATACTTAATACTTCATGTTTTCTCTTAATCTCCAATAAAAGACATTTATACTAACAAAAAGAATTTTTCATTGAAAAATAATTTCAACAATAATACTGGTACATTTTATTTCCGGGAAACTGTTTGCACATAGTTTCCCTTGGTTTTTTCTTTTGTTTTTTCTTGGGTTCTTAATATTGTATTTAACAAATAGTGAATAATTAATTCATTTAACAATTTATTTTATATCTGAACAAAAGTATTATATTTTGTAGAGCACTAATTATCTTTAAAAAGTTTAGAATCTAATAATCACGCAGAACTCTTTTTAAATCTTGAGCAGCAGACATTCTTTTCAAAATAATTGGAAAATTCTCAGTCACCAAATATTCGTCTTTGAAAACTATGACCAAATTAATTTCAAATTCTGAAATAATTCAATTAGATTTAATTTATAAGTACAGAAAATAGTTTTATTTGAAATTTTTAATTACCAATTTTAAAATTTTTTGTTATTAAAGTTGGACATGTGAAAAGTCTCGGAAATATCATAAATATTGGAATTTTTAACTTGGGACACACATTGCCGTCAGCAATTTGTATATTTTGAATTTCGGTCGCGTCTTTTGAGTAGCCTTCCTCACATCCGCAAGTTTCAACACGAACTAATTGAAGTTCTATACTTTTTATGGCAACTTCCGTATGTTGAATTGTAAGCTTTTTTATTAAAAAATTAAATTGATAAAAAAATTAATTAATTTAAAAAGTTTTACTTACATGACCGGTGAAAGGTCTGGTGACGCAACATTCAGTTTGATCAAGTTTCCCAGTTATGAGAAATCTTGGGATAGAAATTCGTTCTTTAGCTGATTTTTGTAAACTTTCTGGACTAATACTGAAATTAACTTCCGATGGATGTGGATCTACATTGGATTCAATTTTGCTATCAGTTCTTGTAATGGTTTTTGGTGTATTAACTGATGAGTGTTGTGTTTTTTCAGTCTCATCACATGAAGCCTTATACTGAATGCAGAATTGTTGAGTTTTTGAAATACTTTTAGCCAAAAAACTTCGTTTTAAATCACACTTCAACTGATAATTAATATTAACAAAAACACCATGATAAGTTTCATATAAAATTTTTGGTTCCTTATGACATGTTAAAGGAAATTCAAAATGAAATTCTGACAATCCTTGTGACAATTTTCCAGGTGGTGCTAATTCGAATGTAGAATTGAGCAGCTGGATGGGCTTTACAGAGTTGTAAAAAGTTTCAAAAATTCCAACATTTTTACTACTAAGCTGTAAATTCACAACTCCTTCTAATATTAAAGTACAGCCCTCATGACGACTTTCAACAGGGCATGTTATTTGAACTACACCTACCAAAAGTTCCTATAAAACAAAAACATATTTTTAAGTTGTCAAACTATGGGTACCTTTAGGGTTAAAAATTTGTTAATTTTTTACTCACGCCTTCATAATAAATTTTATTCGCTCGTTTAAGCTTAATTTCCAAATTAATTCCACTCATGTTGCCTTAATATCTTCTATAAAATTTAATTACGAATACCAAACTTTTGCTACTTACATTTTGTTTCTTTTTTTTTATTTATTTTTGTTTTTAATATTTTGACATTTTAGTGAAAGCAATAAAATGTCATATTCTTACAATGTTAGGACTATAGTTTTTTAAAAAATCGTATTTTGCATTCTCGAATAAAGTTTTCATGTAACAGTCCACCGGTGCATTTAGAAGAATTTTTAACAGATAGTTTTGTTAATTTACATTTGAAATTGACCAATATTTTTTCCTCGACATAGAGGAAACAAAATAAAATTACTCAAAAAAATTCATACAATAAGAACATGAAATACATGTTATTTAAAATTATTTGTAAGTGCCTGTAGTAACATTTGTAGGGATACGTTTTTAATTGTTTACCAAAATACTTGACAAAAGTAGATTCTGAGTTTATCAGATAGTTTTGTTTCACGTACGACAAGTAAAAAATAGAATGCAAATTTTTCATCAAATGAAAAACAACCATTAAAATGAATTCTTAACTTAATATCAAGTTTTGTTTACCACTCACCACTCAAAAAAAAACGTTTAGAATTATTATAAGATATGCTTATAAATATAGATACGTATTCTTCGAATAATGATCCCTAAAAGTCTTGAATGTTAATGTTGCATTTTTATTAATTACTGTCACAATTTGTATAACGATACTAATTCTTTTCACAATCAAATATCTATAGATAACATATAATTGATCATTTGAATTAGTTATCATTACGTCTGCAGTTAACATTATTTTACCTGTTAGAGTTGACTGCTAATTGTTCAGATCAGACAAATTCAGTCATGCCTACATTCCCGAATAGAAAATATACGTGGGCACATAGTTGTATGAGCATAGGAGTATGCTGGAAAAATAAGTGAACAACAACTTTTATTTTCACAAAAATGGAATGATTAATTTTATTTGTCGATATAAGATTTATGTTATTTTTCAACTGTCAACTGCACGACCTTGTCAAAATATTGAAAATTTTTTAAAATTTTGCACGATCCCCTACCTTGGCAAAAAATTTTAACTTTTTTTAAAATTTTGTACGACCCTCTACCTTGTCAAAAAATTGAAAATTTTTTAAAATTTTGCACGACCCCCTGTCTTGGCAAAAAATTGAAAATTTTTTAAAATTTTGCACGACACCCTGTCTTGGCAAAAAATTGAAAATTTTTTAAAATTTTGCACGACACCCTACCTCGGCAAAAAATTGAAAATTTTTTAAAATTTTGCACGACCCCGTACCTTGTCAAAAAATTGAAAATTTTTTAAAATTTTGCACGACCCCCTATCTTGGCAAAAAATTGAAAATTTTTTAAAATTTTGCACGACCCCCTACCTTGGCAAAAAATTGAAAATTTTTTAAAATTTTGCACGACCCCCTGTCTTGGCAAAAAATTGAAAATTTTTTAAAATTTTGCACGACCCCCTACCTTGGCAAAAAATTGAAAATTTTTTAAAATTTTGCACGACCCCCTACCTTGTCAAAAAATTGAAAATTTTTTAAAATATTGCACGACCCCCTATCTTTTCAAAAAATTGAAAATTTTTTAAAATTTTGCTCGACCCCCTACCTTGTAAAAAAATTGAAAATTTTTTAAAATTTTGCACGACACCCTACCTCGGCAAAAAATTGAAAATTTTTTAAAATTTTGCACGACCCCGTACCTTGTCAAAAAATTGAAAATTTTTTAAAATTTTGCACGACCCCCTATCTTGGCAAAAAATTGAAAATTTTTTAAAATTTTGCGCGACCCCCTATCTTGGCAAAAAATTGAAAATTTTTTAAAATTTTGCTCGACCCCCTACCTTGTAAAAAAATTGAAAATTTTTTAAAATTTTGCACGACCCCGTACTTTGTCAAAAACTTGAAAATTTTTTAAAATTTTGCAAAAGTTCGCAGTTGACAGTTTTTAGCTTACAGTTGACAGGTGATAGTTGACAACTAACAGTTGTCAGGTGACAGTTTGCAGGTGGCAGGTGACAGTTGACACCTGACAGGCGACAGTTGACAGGTGACTTTTGACAGATGACTGTTGACAGGTGACATTTGACAGATGATAGATGACAGTTTGCAGGTAACAAGTGACAAGTGACAGGTGATAGTTGACAGGTGATAGTTGACAGGTGACAGCTGGAAGTTGACAGGTGACAGTTGAGAGTTGACAGGTGACAATTTAGAGTTAACGGGTGACTAGACAGGTGACAGTTGACATGATATGTCAAGAACTGAAATAAAAGAAATGCAAACAAATGAAAGTGTTTGATGTAGAAGAAAAGGAAAAAAATCGAACTATTGAGCTGTTTTAAACGAGAAACTATACCTAAATGCAATACAAAACTTAAACTTTTTGGCTCTTTACTATTTAAAAAATAGGAACTTTAACCTAAACTTTTCCATTCATTTTGGAATAGACTTTTTTAATCCACTTTGGCTAAAATTATAAATTAGTTTTAAGATAAAAGAGAATATATGCTGTAAGTATATATCTTTACCCAGACAAAATTGCAACAACATTTTATTAATATTTTTAACTAATTTTTGTGAAGTAAAATAAAGTTTACTTAAATTAAAACCCTTTACGTGTTCATTTCTGTAAAGTTAGTCACACATATTAGATAAAAAATATGCATAGTAATAATAATATATTAAAATCATACCTAGTTGTATATGTATAATGTATATACGTATATATAATAGATATAATTATATATTATACAACGATTTTATAATCGGTCTGTGAAAATGAATAGTTCGTTCAGAACGCATCATTAAAATGAGCGATACTTCCCACCACTACTATGTGAGTATGTAAACCGTATATAGTTTTAAATCAAAGCAATTTCTCCGTGTAAAATTTTATTGTATTCACAATAGAGAAGAAATTGACATAATGCTACAATTTGACACCAAATTTTTATGTGACAGCTTTTACTTTTCTTAATTTAAGAGTGGTGCGGGCTGTCTCTTTTCAACAAATATTGAGTGTCAATTGTCAAAATGCGTTTATAGAAAAAGCAAAAAGCACTTTTTTCAAATCCGTCGCCATTTGTCTGATATAACAAAAGTTGGAATATAGAAAAAAAAATTAATTTCATCATTATTCTTTATGATAAATAGAATTTGGAAAACATAGAATATAAGTTGTAAAATTTATTTGTAAATTATTTTGTGGGTTTTGTACGGAAAATAGGTACAGAAAAGAATGTCGCATTTGGATAATTCTGGAAGTGAAGATGGCCAATTAAGAAGCCCAACAGACGAAATTCTCTACAGGTAAATATACTTTTTATTAAATAATACAACCCAATATTATTCATTTTTGTTCTTGCTTCAAAAAATAAGAAAGAAAACAAGAAAAGAATTAAATATTTTGAAAAATTATATATAAAAATAAAATAGTTTTTCACTATATTTGCAAATGTATTAAAACGTTTTAACAAAGAAAACATAACCTCCAAAAAAATATACTATGTTAGTATAAAAAAAATGTATTATAAATCAATATCTTACAAAGTTTTAAGATTTTTTAAGTTTTTTTAATATTTAAGCAATATATAAACAATTTTGATATTTATTTCCACTTTTTCGTTGCAACTAGGCCAAAAAGTGTGTACATGTCCAATAAATATGACCGATGCGCGCGATGGCCACATCAAAAATTAAAATTAAAAGTTTTATAAAAAAAAAAAAAAATATTTTATTTTGTTAAAAGAAAATACTGCTTTAATGTAGTAAATTAAAAAGGTGTTGTTAAAGTAATATAACGAAGGATAATGGAGCTCGTGAGTTTTTTTGTAAACTCTTGACGATGGGGCAGACAAAATAGAAATTTTTGTATCAACCCTGCACCACCAATATGTTTAACCAAAATCAGCTTCAAGGTCGTTCAACCAAGGTTTGAAAATTATTTAAAAAAAAGAATAATGACAAAGATTTCAATTTTATAAAATTGCATTGTAACTCGTTTCATATTTTTATTTTTGAAAAATAACATTTTTAAATTTTGAAAAAAAATTTTCTTCCATATAAATTAATTTTATGTTGCTTTTTTGTGGTAAAAAATAAGAAATATCATAAAGGAAGAGCAACATAAAATTATATTTTATATAAAGAAATATCAAAAATATTCTTAGTTTGTTTTTTGGTACAATTTGGCTGATATATATTAGTTCATTTACTTTTGTGGTGAGAAAGATTGGCTTGATGGATTCGTTTTATTTTCAAATCCAAATATTGAATTTCGTCCTTTATAATTTTCGCTCTTGAAAATCTAAGAGATGAAATGGAATAAGTAAACATGGGATTGATTAAAAATAATCTGGGTAATTATAGCTTACGGTAAGTTGCAAATCATTTTTATTATTTGGACTAATTTTAATTCAAAAAATTTGATTTTTAATTCAATGGTAAGATGAAATTTTAGATTGTATTTTTTAGCCTGCAATAACTGATTGACCAAGGGAAAAAGTGGATTATATTGAATAAAGATCTTGTTCTTCGATGTAAATCAGCAATTTCCGTTCATCAAGAGTTGTATATTACAATCTACCTATATAACTTTTAAATATTTTTTTAGCACTAAATTTAATACATCAGCTTTAAATTTTATAATTTACAGTACATTACCTTTTATCAAAAAACAAAATAATTTCAATAAATATTTTGGTAATAATCCACTTAATTAGCTTGCTAATAAGACTAAATACTTCTATATTGTGTTGATTTCAACTGTATTGTTAATAACAAGTATTTAAACTAATGTCTATTGAAACAGATATTAAAATTTTCTAAATTTTTCATATGAAAATCATATTTCAACTTTAGATCAAGACACCTGATCCAACATATTGGATCACGTGTATAGTTGAATCATTTGAGGTGATAGATTATTATTGAAAAGTATTTTGATTTTGAAAGTGGAATTTAAAATTTCGAAATTGAAATTCAGAAAATTCTAAAATTTTTCAATAATCCCCAATCACGTCATCTAATGTGATTAGCAGAATATATTTGAAATAATTTTAATCAATCTAATAAAACAAAATTGACAATCGATGATTCAATGATTCTAAAGATTCTAAACAATTCAATTTAAATTAAGAAAAAGCATTCATTAAAAAATTAGATTAAGTTTTATATTTGTTCAAAGCACATGTTATTGCTTAGATGGAAGAATTCAAATAAAATAATCAAGCAATGAAATAGCTAAATAAAAAAGTGGCTCTAGATTTTTTATCGAAAATTTCTCAAATTTAATAATTTAAAGAGCCAATAAACCTGCTTCATTTAAAAAAATAATTTAATTAAAAAAATTTCGTTTAAATGTGCATCATTTTTGCATGAAATACAAAAATTACTTTTTTTAAAAATGAAAAAGACCATCGTTACACAATTGTGCTTCAATTATATCTCTTTCAAAATAAGGAGGTCCATATTGATGTTTAAAATACAATGATACATAATATTCCAATCAAAACGAATATATGTATTGGTATTTGATACTTCAAAATTTTCTTACTAATTAAAGGATAATTAAAGATAATTAATATCGATCACATCATCATTTATAAATATTCAAAAACACAATATACAAGTGTTGATATAATTTGAGAATATTACACAAGTATTTAATAAAATACTGCCTGATTTGATAAGTCATTATTAAATAAGTTTTTTATTTAAAATAGAAATTCATGTTCCTTTAAATCATAAAACTGAAATTATGGTTGAAGTTTTCCCTATACAAAGTTGCAAAAAAGCGACAAATAAATCCAACTATAAAAAATATTTAGATAAATTTTTAAAAGTTTATTAAAATATATGTATATAATTAAATTTATTTCTTAAATTTTGAAAATATTACTTTATTAATTATAAATTTCATCCTCAGGTCAACTCTCTCACAACCGTACAATAACAAAGGCAAAAGTAAATGAACCAGCTTTAGTACCATCATATTTTATTTTCAAATTAACAGCTAATCAGCTACCTTCGACTCAGCGAAATGTGCATCGAACACTACGGTCATATAATTGGATATTATTTAATTTGTTTAGCTATATAATATATAAACGAATTTTAAATAGAATCGGTTTAATTTTTTTTTCAGTAGCAACGATCTTGATATAGAAGATGGAGATACAGATTCACTAGATATCAAACCACCGCAAGCAACACATCGTGATATGAGTACTAGTAGTCGCCGTACAAAACCATCCAAAGAAAAAAAACATTCCAAAGAACATAAGCATAAAGATCGTGAACGTGAGCGAATGAGGGATCGTGAGAGACAAAGAGAAGAATATTATAAACAAAAATTGGAAAAAGCTCGACATAACAGTGATGATCGTGGAAGACATCGACATTTGGAAATTCAAAAACATCGGGAACAACGACATGAAATCAGAGAAAAACATAATGAAGGCAGTTATCGTGGACGAAATGAAATACACCAGCAGCAGTACAATGATCGTCTCGCGAATAGTGGAAATGATGTTCGGTACCAAGAATATGAACATAGCATACAAAATCATGGTCGAACTTCAAAACAATCTCGTGGCAACAGTAGAGAAGATAAATCTCGTCGAATAGAATACCCTATATCTTCGCAGACAATAGCGGTTAATCGTGCGGAAAGTCGAGAAAAGCGTAAATATTTAGAAGTACAGCCATCGGCTGATCCAGAAAAAGAGTTAGAAGACTTACGAAGCAGGCTGCTTAGTAAGCGAAGCAAATTTGAAAAAAAGATAGCTCAAAGCCGATATGACGACATATCCAGTGATGAACGTCAACATTCATCTCATCATAGTAATAGACCAGTTAAAGAACATAAGAAAAATAAGCATTTCCGCAACGATGGTCCAGTCATTGAAGTAATAGATTCCCCAGAAGAAATTCAAGATCAAAGACGTAAGTCAAACAAATTACCTACGCCTGAGAATGAAGAACATGTGGCTCGACGTTCAAAATTGTTAGAAGCAGAACGAGAAATGGCTTGGCGAAAGGAAATAGCTCGTGGGGAGCTTGAGGCTCGAAGAGAAAAACGAGAGAAAGAAATTGAAAAGAGCGAGGCGCTTAATCAAATTATTAGTTACCAAAGGAAGAAGAAACGTAGACATGATAGTGAAGAAGAACAAGAAGAAAGACGTCGACACAGACATCACAAAAAGAAACTTAAAAAAACTAAGGAAAGACTTAAGGAAAATGATTTAAATGTTCAAAAATCTCCAGCAGAAGAAGGCGAATATGAAGATCGATTAGATGATGAATATGAACAACAGTCAGCTTATTCAACAGGTGAAGAAGATGTCAATGCTGGTCTAACAGCTGAGGACGATGATGATGATGATTTTGAAATGTCTTCTGAAGAAGATAATGACAATCATGAAGAAAAAGCTATGGAAATAATTGCCGAACGTCGTGAAAAAAATGTGAGAAAAAAGAGAAGAAAGCACCATAGGCATTCTACAGAAAGAGATGATGAAGGCATGCTATCAGTAGAAGAATTAGAAAAAAGTCAACCAAAAACTGATCATTCGATAAAGATAAGCTCAAGATCAAATTCTAGGTCAAGCAGTCCCGCACACTCAGAACATAGCAAAAACAGTCGATTTCACAGCAAATCGCAAAGCAGATCCCGATCAGTTTCTAGATATAGAACTTCTTCAATATCTAGATCCCATACAAGGTCGAGAACGAATTCACACTCACGTTCTCGATCTAGATCAGTTTCGAAATCTAGATCGTCAAGATCAAGATCAAGAACACGCACAAGTCGCTCCAGGTCTGAGGATTCTGATCGTTCACGACAGTCAACATCAAGATCTCGTTCTAGATCAAAATCTAGATCAAGATCGCGTTCTGGCTCGGCATCAACAGACGAAGAAAGAGATAAAAAGAAAGTAAAGAAGAACATGCAAAATTCTTCTGAAACTGAGACCAAACTGGATTCTAAAGATGGTAAGTAAAATGAATTCATTTATATAACTCATTCCAAACCTTAATCCTATAATTACAGAACGAGATACATCTCCAAGAAATGACAAGGGTGAAAAACTTCCTAATTATTTCCCTGGAATTCAAGGATGTCGCTCTGTTGAAGAATTCCAATGCCTTAATAGAATTGAAGAAGGAACATATGGAGTCGTATATCGGGCTAAAGATAGACGTACTGATGAAATCGTTGCCCTTAAGCGATTAAAAATGGAAAAAGAAAAGGAAGGATTCCCAATAACATCTCTACGTGAAATTAATACTCTTTTGAAAGGGCAGCATCCAAATATAGTAACAGTAAGAGAAATTGTTGTTGGAAGTAATATGGATAAAATTTTTATAGTAATGGATTACGTAGAACATGATCTGAAAAGTTTGATGGAAACTATGAAGCATAAAGAACAGTCATTTCTACCTGGTGAAGTGAAATGTTTATTACAACAACTATTGAGGGCTGTTGGTCACTTGCATGATAATTGGATATTGCATCGTGATCTAAAAACTTCAAATTTATTGCTAAGTCATAAGGGTATACTGAAAGTAGGTGATTTTGGGCTTGCACGTGAATATGGGAGTCCCTTAAAAGCATATACTTCATTAGTGGTAACACTTTGGTATCGTGCACCGGAGCTATTATTGTGCTCTAAAGAGTATTCAACTCCTATAGACATGTGGTCTGTAGGTTGTATATTTGCAGAGTTTATGCAAATGAGTGCCATGTTTCCTGGAAAATCTGAGATCGATCAACTAAATAGAATATTTAAGGATCTCGGAACACCTAACGAGAAAATATGGCCCGGTTACAAGGATTTACCTGCAGTACAAAATCTTTTAAGTCAAAATTCTAGTTTTTCTGAGTATCCAGTCTCAAATTTACGTCGTAAATTTTACAATAAAACAACAGAAGTGGGCGTATCTCTGCTGCAAGGTTTACTAACATATGATCCTAAACAACGACTTACAGCAGAACAAGCTTTAAGACACGCTTATTTTAAAGAAATCCCATTAGCCATTGATCCTTCAATGTTTCCAACTTGGCCAGCTAAAAGTGAATTAGGTAAAGCAAAAGCTTTAGCATCATCACCTAAACCACCATCTGGAGGCTCACAATTCAAACAACTGGGTCGTGATGATATTATGGTGCCACCTGGAGAACTAAAATCAGCAAAAGCAGCAGCAAAAGCCGCAGCAGCTGCTGCTAGTGCAGCTGTTACCAAATCAGCTGGATTTGTTCTTAATGCTGGAATCGATCAGAGAAGTTTAGCGATGGGTCCAGGCTTTAGTTTAAAATTTTAAATTTTGTTTTTCTTTTGTACATTTTTATTACAATTAAAATTGAAATACTTTAATTAAAATAGTTAGGAAGGACATTATTATAAGTACATAAATTGTGACTCAGTGAAAAACAAAAAAAAAAACCTGAATTAATATTTAATTTTTAAAAACATTAAGGCAAAAAATAAATTGTACCGAATATGTGTGTAATTATAATAATATTTCAGTGTAAAAAAAAATATATCATTTTAAACATTCATTATAAAATCATTTTTTCGTGTTACTATGTACAATAAAGGTATTTTTAATATACATATATATGTATAATTTTATTTTGAATAAAAAAATAACTAAATTGTAAAAAAAAACTTGTTAATAAGAAACATGATATAAGTAAAAACACAAGAAATCATTTGTTTTTTTATATCTTTGAAAAACACAATCTGTAATTAATTAGAGAAATCGACTATGTAAACAAAAACATAGATGTTGGTATGCATACACCCTCTCAAAACCGGTATGAAGTTGATAATATGATAATAGATCCCCAATTGCCCTTTATCCAATTCATTCGAAAAGAAAAGACTCAAAATGTGTGAACCTCAATTGAAAACTTTTACAATTTTGCACATAATATACGTATATTTTATGATTATATAAAATTATTATCCATGAACATATTATGTATAAAATTATTTTCAAAAAATTTTTTGTAAAATATGTGATTTAGAAGTCTGAGCCTAATAAATATTAAAAATAAAGTTCTTATGTTGTACATACATACATATATTTAATTAAATATTCCTGTAACGTATGGAAAAATACAACTTCCGAAACATTAATAAAAAGAAAAAAAGTAAATACTACTAATCCCCGAGACAAACAACAAAAACATTCAACTTTTCCAAAAAAGGTAAACTGAAAATTTATCATTTTATCGGGCAATGACATAGAAAAAAACCAAACGGAAATTAACTTAAAATGTAAAAGGTCTGATTCACACCTGCTTTTTTGCATACTGTAGAAGAGGTATGAAATACAATTAATGATGACGCATATTGAAAAATTATTCACGTATAATTTTTTAAAACACTTTCTAAATAATACAAAAATGCATAAGTGTATAGTTCTTTTTTTATTTAGAAAAGTCTTTAAAACATTGTCTCCAAAAATACAATTAAATAGTAATAATACTCACTCGTGCTAAAATAAAATTATAGAAATTGAATACATATAATACTAGAGACCTCAATAAATACGCTGTCCAAATATGAAAACTTATTTTTTCAATTAATGATACTGAGTAAATTTATGATTGTTAAATCTTAACTTGCCATGCAACACAATTCTATTGTTTACTTTTGTAGTTCTAGTTAGTTAAAATTTAACAATATAAGCTACCGAAATTCACTTTTTCGTATCACTGTATTATAAAAATATTGGTCGAGATAATGTTACATTGATTTTGGATGAAACAATCAAGTTATGATATTACATACAATACATATTCTAAAAAAGGATTGTAATGAGAGGTGTTTTTTTCTTAAAAGTAGTAGCGGACAGCTAAAATATTTATTGGGGTACCTAGTAGGTAGTTTACAATTCGTATGTGATATAAATTACATAGTACAAGTCAATATAATAAAAAAATTTTTTTTTTACAATGAAAAAATACTAGAAAAAAAAATACCCTAAACAGTATTATTGTCAAAATTTGGTAATAATCCTATATTATCTACCAGTTTGTAGCTTTTATGAGATTTAATGTCATCCTTATTTGATTCAATAAGTTGATTGAGCCAATCAGTCGAATTTAAATGTATTGCTTCACCACCTAATTCAGCTGGAAGAACATCTTTTGGGAAATAATTATGTAAAGAGAAAAAATTTCTGCTGTGAAATTTTATTCTATCCCAGTTTTTTTCAGTTAAAAAAGGTTTCATAGCAGTAAAAGCTATTTCTATATACCATGGTTGACCGACAAAATGAACAGCTTTGAAACGTACTGGAAAACTATCCTGCAATGCCATAAATGATATAGAATTAGCAATATGTGTAAAAAATAAATATATATGTTTATATTTATAAAATTCAGTTATTTATTACTTTTTACTTACTTGTAAACCATTTGCAATTATTTTTAATATTAGTGGATTAAGCTGAGAAGACTGTTTAAATGTAACATTTGTCCAATCTACTATTGCAACAAACCCACATGATTGATTTTGTCTATCTTCTAATAGTTTTTCCAATGATAATAATAAAGCTCTATAAATATCCTCCAATAAAAATGATGTACTCCAATTAGATGCAAAAAATGCCAATATTTTTCTGCCTTTACGATCTCGTTCTTTTAATATGTACGGGCATCCTTCCCGGATTGCCAATTGTATTTTAGGATCATATATATTTAATTTTTTTAATAAAGTGTCTTTATAACGTTCCTTATACTGAAAATAATTAATGAGCAAATTATATGCTAAATCTGAATCAAATTTTCTAGCAAATAGAAAACGATTTAAAAAGTCTTCATCATATAAGCAAGATTTATCTTTTAAAGCGTAATCAATACTGGAACCAATTTTTTCACGTAGTTTATTTAAAGCTGATTTTCTTTGTTGTTCATCATCAAAATTAGTCTTTGTTAAACAGGATTTATTTAATGTGATAAATTCAAAGCACTGTTGGTGACTTTTTCTAAGTGAATCAAATTCAAAATATTCAGACATGATTTTAATTACCGAAAAATATTGTAATATTCTATTCGTTTATTTTATATTGTATGTATGTATATTCATGGACGGAAATTATAATTTAACTGAAAAAAAAATCTAAATCAAATTTTTTTCTTTATCTTGGAAGCTCATGTGCATTATTGTTATGTGATTATTTTATATTTTTATTACGAAAACAAACTTAATTTGATTTCGAAATTCTTATTTAATTAGCACATCTTTTCAAATTGAATATTAAAAGGAGTTTTTATTTAAAAAAAAAAAAACGCGTAAACAAAAATCAAACACAAAATAAGAGAATTGTCATTTGAATTAATACGAAAATTACGTCATTGTTTTTGGACAATTTGATCTCCTCCATTTTGACGTGCTTTCAATTGAGCTAACAAATGTCACAGCGATTTCCATTTACATGCATGAAATAAAAGAAGTTTCTTCAACTCGAACTTTAAACTGAACGAGTTATTTCAAAATAGGTATCGTAATGTAAAATAAGTGCATGAATGAAAACTGCAATAAGTTTGTAAATAATGCTTGATTTGAGCCTTCTTAATGTGCCTTCATTGTATTTCGGCTGTAAAGCAGACAGCAATTTTTAGCTTTGCAATTACAGTGCAAGTTTAGTGCTAACTAAAAATTGCAATCAGTTTGCAAAAAGTTACAAACTGTTTGATTGCTTGATTGCATGCGATTATACAGTTGCATGTGAGCGTGTTTGCCTGAATATAAACCAATGGAATACAATTAAACAGTTGCGAAACTAAAAATTAAATGTCCATCTCAACCCTTAGAAAACTAGGTTTTTACATTCTCATCTTATATACTAGTGTTTATGATTTCTCTACACAATTTTTCGTTTATAATTTTAAAACGGAAAGTCTAATACTTTATTTGTGTTTACATAGGCCACAGCTGTTTTTTATTATTGTTGTTTCTTTCGTAAGGTTAAAAGAATTTATAAAAGGTTTCAGAATGCCGAAAAATTATGAGGCAGAGAAAAACAATCCATGTTTAAAGGTTAGAAAATTATATTCTAATACAATTGGTTATATAATTTATGTAAAACTTTTAGGAACAAGAATTATCTTTTAAATGTTTGAGTAAAAATAATTTTAACCGAGAAGCATGTGAAGTATATTTTGCCAATTATAATAACTGCAAAGAGTTTTGGGTAAGATACTTACATAAGATTTGTTTTATTTTTTATCTAACATAACATTTTCTTAAGAATAAAATTCGATTAGATCGCAGAAGAAAAGGAATTGAACCATATCTACCTAATATAGAGGAAAGAGAAAAAATTAAAGAGGAGTATATGAAAACAAAACCACCAGTATGAAAATTGTGTAAATTTATTGTACCTAGATAATTAGTACTTTCTTGATAAATAACATGTTTTTTTTTATTAATTATGTATTTCACTAGACGCATACACTTTTAATTTATGGTTGTCAACTTCTAATAATGCACAAGTTAGTTCCATCTCTTTTGAAGATTTTGGATCATCTATGACAAGCACTTTTAGGTTTGTAAGCCTGTAGATGCAACTCAATCCCCTATAGGTGATATTAGTGCCAGTCAAATCCAAAACTTCTAATATCGGGTTCTCTGATCCAGAAACACGATCTAAGCACCAGTCATCGAATGTTTTCACATTTATAAACGATAGAAATTTTAAATTTTGTAACCGGCGAATATTTTCTAAACCTTCATAATATAAAACCATATTATCACATTTTATTGCTTCTAATTTGAATGCGGGAATATATTTATTAGGTAAATTAAAATTTCCTTCATCATCTTTCCGAACCCATTGGGGGTTGTTTAAGAATTTTACAGCTCCTCCTCGGAAAACAACGAAATGTGCTGTCGCCAAATCACTTCCTAATATTTGATGCCTTTCTGGAATAAAGCTTTGCATATGCCTTTCTATATTTTCATTTCTTTTATCCCACCAGTTTTTAATTGATTTTGGACTTAAATCAATTGGTTGTTGCATTAATGTGATAAAGTCTGATGTTTGATCTTCATTACCAAACAATTTAAATTTACTATTCCAAGCACCAGGATTTTCACTAGGCTTTGGACGCCAATTTAGCTCTCTTTTGGATACTTCAATTTCATTTTTTACATCTTCCAAATTTTTTTTGTTATGATTTGAAAAAAATATGCGTTGCTGATAAATCGGTGTAAATTTTTTTTGCAATATCAATTTCCTTAACATTCCAAAATTTTATGTCAAAAATCTAATTAAATTTTTAATTTCATCTCCCGTTTTTTTTAACATTCAGAAAATATAAAACTAATTAAATATGTTAAATGTCATTTATATAATGAAAATCAAAACAAGTCAAAATAATTTGACGTATTTTTCACTTTTTTAAGCTTTAGCTGTGTTCATTTGATTTTGTTTGAGAATGTTGTGCTGTATTATAATGATTTTCTGTCAAACAATTTTTAATGGAGAATAATTGACTTTTTTTTCAAATTAATTATTCCTATTTTACGAAGTTATCTGGTAAAGAGAAAAATTCAGTTTTCTGGTTGTTATGCGCAAAAATCTTCAGGTAAAGAAAGGGAAAATAAATTTTTAGAGAGCGCGATTTTACTCACAAATTTACCTCATAACAACAAGAAGCGAGTTCAAAATGTTTTTCTAGAACTGTTCACCAAAAATTTCGTGTGAAGCAAAAGTTGTAATTGTCTTATTTTTCTCAATTTCTTTCATTTTCAACTTTTCACCAATAAATTAAAAAATTTCATTTTTTCTGTCTTGATTGTGTTTCACTCGGCGTAATTATACTCGACAAGAAAATAAATTGATAAATAAATTACAGGAACGGCGTTTGAAAAGCGATGAATAAAATATAAATTCACTTAATTTGTTAATCATAGCTCATTAAAGTGTGTCATCCCTGTAAAAACACTTGTTGCGCTTTTTGTTGATCCAAAAACCATCATGCATATGACAATTTTTTAATTGACAATTTAATGACAATAATTATTTTGACAAATCAAATGATTTTCGAAAGCAGTAATAAGCGGCAAGCACTTCAAAAAAAATTCTAGTTAGATTTTTTAGTGCTTTTTGGTTATCGGTTCAGTTCGGATTTCAACTTCATACCATTGATTTAGGTTAGTGTAGATATTTTATTGGCAAAAAATATAAAATTAAAAATGAATTTATATTCGTTTTTTTTTGCAGACAAATTTAAAAGTATAATAAAATATGGCAAATAAAGTACCAAATGTTATTCTTAACAATGGCAAACAAATGCCTATTCTTGGTCTTGGAACTTGGAAGGTAAGAAACTACCTAATTTTCCTGAAACAAATCCGTCTAGAATTTTGATAAAGAAATTTATATATTGCAATTAAACTTAAATCATAATAAGTTACAATTGAAATCATGCCATTCATAATAAAGTACGACAATATTACTTATTGTTTTAAATGGTTAAATGAAATGAAGCAAATCCGGAGAGGCATCATAATATACATTTGTATGTATATATAGTACAATACAAGGCTTTAATACATGTACATTATTATTTATTACTGCCGGTTTTATGTTTTCAGATTGTTTCTAATCTTCTCAGTGTGTAAATCATACCGGTCTTTTAAAACATTTGATTTATAAATTTTAACAATACCAAACTTTATGATTAGTACGACGTGCATGTGCCATTAATAATCGTTATCCATTACCTACCTCGAGCGTTGATGTCTTACAGAAAGTGCATTAAAAATTTTTAACTTTATTTGGAATAGAAATTATAATTTTCAACCCATCTTCAAACTTGTAAAATATTACAAGTCAGGAAAGCTTTTAACATAAAATAATAAATTAAACTCAAACTAAAATTTTAATTAGTGATAGTGATTTTTGATATTTTATTATGCTGGTGATAGTGTTAGTTTTTAAGATCGAAAAGTTTATCAAGAGCTGAATAAGAAACAAAAAAATATTAAATTATATACATATGTTAATTTTATTCATAAATTGCTTCAACATCCCTTTTGAAAAATGGCCAAAAGCAGATTTTAACAGAATCAGAAATCAAATTTTTGGATTTCTATCAGTTTTCGTAAATTTTTATTACGAGCATTTAGAATTAAACAACATTTGTCACTAGAAAATATTCCTACCAAAAAGTTGATTTCTGTAATCATCTAGTTAGTGATTTTGTCTGCTAGAAATAAATAGAAAACCATACTGTAAGCAATCAGGTTTAGTATTAAACTTGGAAATAATTTCTATTTAATTGAATAATTTTTAATTTTGTATCGGTTTTTAAAATTGTATGCATAAAGCAAATAAATTATATTTATATAAGGTAATATTAATTATTTTATAAAAATAATATAATTTAAATTTATGTTATAAATATGACAGTTTACAAAACAATACCAAAATTAACACCATGGCGTAAAAAACAATTAAAGTTGTCTTGTTTTTTTTAGATTCCGTACCTACACATAAGAATTAGTTTTTATCCCACCTAAATCTGAAAGTTGCAATTTAATTATATTAGTAAATATATTATAATAATGCAACTATTCAAATTAATTATTCATTCATTTGTTACGTCAATTAATAAGTATAAATTTTATGATAGTAAATTGTGAAAATATTTTTTTTATTATTATTATTATTTCTTGTTGCAGAGATTTAGCTATAAATTTATATAAATAATTGTATATTTAGCTAAGTATAGTACAATGTGAAAAAGCTTGATATGAAGGTTTTATATTTCAATATTGTGGTCTAGTTGTAGACTTAGAATCTATTTATTCATTATATAAGTTCATTTTATTTTCCAAAGTATTGCTTTCCTTATATATTTTGAATGCCTAACATAGTAGAAAATATGAAAAGAATATTATAATGTATTACGGATAATACTAGTAAATAAAGATTGTAATGAAAATTCTAGATAATTTATAATTTAATGTAAATTTTATAAATATATATATGTACATAAATGTATCTTAGTTGTACAAAAATTAAATTAAAATGTGCAAGTGCTTTTTCACTTAAAACATTTTTTATATTATTTCATTATATTACAACGATTTTAAGAATCATTTTTTTAACAGCTGCTAATTAATTATCCAATTATGTATCATTTTTAGAATTATCTCAATATCGATAATAATGTATATATAGAAGAGTTACATCAGAAACATAGAATATTTTTCAACATAATTGTGTTTTACTAGACATTACTGCATGTTATTAATAAGAAATAACGTTTTGAATTGAAAAATCTTTATACCAAATAATCTGTTTGGAAAACGTAAAAAATTTATTCCAAAACAAGTAATCTAATTTCAAGAATTTGAATCAATTTTCTTTGATTTGTTAATTAATTTACATAATCGTGCAATATCACACCTATTAGTATTTAATTAGTAAATGATTCACAACTTCTGAACTTGTTTTTCTCTTAAATATTGCAAAAAAAGCATCAATTTTACTTTTTGTAAATTTTAACTTTAATTGCACTTTATTTTTAAATATTTCGAATTTCTAATGTTTGTATAAAATATAATAGTGGCTGTGTATATTTTTATTGAGCGCTTATTATTAAACTTATTTATTTTAAAGAGTGCACCAGGAGAAGTTGCTCAGGCCGTAAAAGATGCTATTGATATAGGATATCGTCATTTTGATTGTGCTCATGTCTATGGTAATGAACATGAAGTTGGTGAAGGAATCAATGCCAAAATAACTGAAGGTGTTGTTAAAAGGTAAAAGATAAATTTTTAAATATATATTTTTAGAAATATTTCAATGTATAAAATTTTTTATGAAATAATCTATTCATACCGTATTTCACTAAATGATAAGAATATTTACATCATTGTTTGTATACTGATTATGTATTGAATTTAGCAGCGTATTATGTAATACTCGTATATTTGAGCAAATATTTGAATTTATATTCTTATCTGTAGACTCATGTCAATAGCATAACGTTAATTTTTTATTTGATAACATAATTTAATAATATTAAAATTTTTTAATTAATCAAATTTTAGAGAGGATATTTTTATCACCAGCAAATTATGGAATACTTTCCACCGTCCTGATTTAGTTCGTGGTGCTTGTGAGACAACCCTTAAAAACTTAAATACACCCTATTTGGATATGTATTTAATACATTGGCCAATGGGTTATAAAGAGGATGGAGAATTGTTTCCAACTGATGATAAAGGTGCCGTTTTATTCTCTGATGTTGATTATGTTGATACATGGAAGGAAATGGAAAAATTGGTTGATGATGGTTTATGTAAATCAATTGGTGTTTCAAATTTTAATAAGAGGCAAATTGAAAGAGTTTTACAAATTGCAAAAATTCCACCGGCTAATAATCAAGTTGAATGTCATCCATATTTGACTCAAACAAAATTAATGGAATATTGCAAAACAAAAAATATTGCTATAACAGCTTATAGTCCTTTAGGAAGTCCTGATCGTCCATGGGCTCAAAAAGGTGAACCAGTATTAATGGAAGATCCAAAGGTAATTTCATTTTTCCAAACTAGATTTATTATAAACTTACTTACTTTTAAAATTCTAGCTTATGGCTATAGCTGAAAAACATAAAAAATCAACAGCTCAAGTTTTGATTCGTTATCAAATTCAACGTGGTAATATTGTTATACCAAAATCTGTCAATAAGGGACGAATGTCATCAAATTTTGATGTATTTGGCTTTGAATTGAGTGCAGATGAAATTGCAACAATTGATAGTTTCGATTGTAACGGAAGATTTGTGCCTTTGACAAAGTAAGTTTTCTTGCTCAAACATTCGAGCATTTCTATACTTTGTACTTCAAAATTAAATTTTTTATTATTAAATTTATAGTGAAGCTGGTGATCATCCACATTATCCTTTTAATGATGAATATTAAAATCTTTTCGAATAATTTTTCCCATATTTGGTAAATTTTCTTACCATTCTTTTTAATAGCACAATGAGTTAAAAAAAGTTATTATTAATATAAAATTCCACAATTTATTTTACAACTAATATAAATGTTGTAATGCTTTTCGAATTTGTTTTTTTTTGTTGATTCTCATTAAAATAATCTTATCATTATTTGTTTTATCAGTATAAATGAAGAATTTGTTTTTAACCCTCATATTATGATTAATGAAAGAAAATGGTTAAGAAAAATTCCTTTTGAGCAATATTTATTATTACATGAAAAATATATTTTGTGTTTGACATTTTAAACATTTTGTATGTTATACGAAATCCTGTCAAATGAATAGCATTAATATAATTTAAGTTATAGATAATAAATTGTAACATATACCCAGTTTCCAAGATCTATTTAGAAATTTATATAATAGAGTACATTATTAATTTCTCAAACTTTTTATAGTGTCAGCCATCACGAACATTTTCCATTCAACGATGAATATTAAAATGGTAAATTACGAAATCATATGAATATTTTGTAGTTTATTTTGAAAGATTCTTTTTATTTTTTTGTTTTTAATTCTTGCATGATAATTTTTTATTAAATTAAACTAAAGTTTAATTAAAGTGAGCGAAATTATTTTACTAGATATAAATATAATCATAAAATAATAAATTAACGAGACAATGAGTTACAAAGAAAAAGTTTTTAAAAATTCATGAGACTTTAGTAAAAGTAACAATGCGGTAATTTAAAAGGTCTGCTACCACTTGCATTACCGGTACTCATAATTTCAATTAAACTAATTAAAAACTTCTTTAATTTAAAATTTATTTTGCACTTTAGCTTTCTTTTCTTTGATAAATTTTTTGCAATTTTTGTTTCTGTAGACTAATATGTATCTGGTTCATTGCAAAATTAATGTATAATTTTATACTAACATTAATTTAGCAAAATGTTTCTAGTTTCTTAGCTTAACAAATGTACATGTAGTTGTTTGGCAAGCAGTAGAAAGCAAAATTATTGAGTTGCTCTCTTGTTATTAACATTTTCATAACAACAGCTTTATTAGAACAATTTTAAAATAACAATATTAATTTATTTGATCATTTTTTTTTAATATTTTAGTGTTTTGGGACATCCGCATCACCCATTTGAACACGATGAATTTTAGTTTAACTAATAGTGAGTTTTTATAAAGCGAATGGAACAAAACTTTAAATGTAGTGTGGTTTCTTATTAAAGGCGAATTATACAACCGCTTCAATTAAAAAAATGTCAATAAAAATCACAAGTTCAAACGAATTATTTTGGGTGTTGTTATATGTAATATAATATCATAATTAATTGTTTTCAAATAAAGTTTTATTATTAGAAAAAAAAATTGTTTTGATGGTATTTTTTTTTTTTTATAAAACGTATTAATAATATATAGAATAATAAGTAGTTTTACAAAATTATAATATTATATAAATCTTAGCAATGAGATAAAAATAGCAAAATATAAAATTGAAAATTTACAGCATATTTTTTTAAATCAACCTTTTTAATATTGTTATGTTTTAGTTTTTCAGTAGACAAATGGATCAATTCAATATCAACTCAAAATTTAAAGAAATTTTAAATAAGAATATTATTTATTAAGTTTATATCAAGCGAATTATGTACGTATTTAATTTTAATAGAACTTTTATTTATAATATAAATATTGCAAGAAGTGTTTTTCAAATAACTTTAAAAGCTATGATGATTTTAAGTGGTAACTTTTTAAAAAATTTAATTTGATCAAAACAATAATATTTCGAAATTCACTTTAAAATTCTAGATATTGGTTATTAAATACAAATATTAATTAAATATTTAATTTAAATAGCAATTAAATTGTGTTATAATTTATATAATATTATTGTACCACAAATATTTCTCATGTGAAAGAAGATTGTAAGAGGTATATAATGCGTTTAAGGATGAAATAATGATACTTAATTAGATGTTTGCTAATCGATAGATATGTAAGTATATATTATATAAATAGTTTCTGAGTATATATGTATATTTAATGCATAGTAATTTTAATTTATGAATTCCTATTTCCAAACATTTTTTTTTAAGTTAAATTGATTTTATTTACAGAATTTTTGATCATGTAAAAAGCATTATTAAGAGCAAAATTCAAAAATTCAAATAGTTTTAGTTTAATTATTTTATTACGTTATTTAATTTTTCACAAAATAAATATTTACAACATTATAATATTTAATAAACAAATTAATATTATAAAAAAAAAAAAAAAACAATAAATAAAAAAAAAAGTTTTTTTTTTTTTTAGCCAAAAACAGAATAAACAAAAAGCTAAACATTATCTTTAAATATTTTTTTTTTTCTAAAAATTATTTCAGAAATTATTGTTTATATTATTTTTCATTCATAATATTAAATTATTAATTCTGTATATGTATTTCGATCATAAATTCTGTCGTTTTTGGTTAATCAGTCGATTTTCAATTATAATTTTTTATTAATTCCATCTAAAATTATTTATTCTTTTTATATAAATATTAATTAAAATAAATTATTTAAAATTATTTATTCAATTTTAATCCTCCTCTTCTTCATCTTCATCGTCCTCTTCCTCTTCTTCTTCAATATTATCATTTTTATTTTCTTTATTGATTATTTTTAAAGTATCATTATTATATTCACCATTTTTATTTTCATCTCCTAAAGATTCCGTTTCTTCATTTTCTTCTTCATAAATAACATCACAACTAATGGGAATCTGTTTTGGTGGTGGTTTACGTATTGGTTGTTTTTTACGATTTCCACTGCTATGACGATGTTGTTGTTCATCATTAATTGCTTGCATTTCTTCCATTTGCATTTGCATTTCACGTAAACGTTCAGTTAATTCACATAAATCACGTTCCTGTGAATCGCAACGAGCTCTTAATTCATCAATTTCACGTAAATCTTCGGGACGTGGTTCACGACGTTCATATCGTAAACGCATTTCCTCGAATCTTAATTTAAAAAAAGAAGAAGAGACAAAAAAAATGAAATTAAAATTTTAAACAAAATTTATATTGAAAATATAATTGCATGAATTTAATATTTACATAACAATAAAATTGTAAAATTTAAACCAACAAGATAACCATGTATTAAATGTTTCTATGAAGATGATACACTTGGTTTAAGGTTTTAAGATTTCAAAGAAAACAATAAAATTTACAATTATAAACAGAATTATTTAAAAAGTACACCATTTAATATGAATATATGTAAAACAATTGTGATTTTTGGAAAAGAAAAACGTATGATTTTAATTTTCGCATATAAAAGGTTGAGTTTATGGATTCTATTATTTGAAAACTACAAGCTATTATTATTAAATATTTTCTTAAATGCATAATTTATTACAAATTTATAATATTATATTAAAATAATGACTTTGTATACTTTATATACTATATTTGGAATTTTAATTATATAAATTGTGATAATTTGTGATATGAAATTAAATAATTGTTAAAAATTATTTCATAATAAATAAAATAGAATCTAGTTAAAAAAAAAATCAAATGTTATAATAGAATCATATACCTTTATTTTATCTGTTAAAAATATTGTTATTGAATATTTTTTTATAATTAAAAATTCTATTATAATTTTATAATTTAATTAATTTCATATTTTCATTTTAGGTTTTACTTACAAATTTGTTAAACATCTGCATTTTCTATGTAATTGCTCGATTTCTTGTGAATTATGAATATCACGATTTTGTAATGCTGAACGATCTAAATCATAGGCTTCTTTTAAATCTTTGAGATCCCTTCTATGCTGAGTCTCCAAATTTCTTTATTTTTTTGTTTTTATTTCGTGTATTAAGATAAGAAATTTAACGTAATTTTAATGATGGTTGATTTTTTTTTTGTATTTTTATAGTTGTTTTTTTTGTTTTTTGCCAATTATTGTAAATTTTTTAATAACATATAAAATAACAGTAGGATTGTTTTAGGTTGTAAGAAAAAAAAAAAAACAAAAGAATTAAATTTGGAAAAACAATATGAAAATATTATAAATTATTTATTTTTTTAAACATTTAAAATGTAAAAAACATTGAAAAAAAAATGGGTATGATTTACGAATAGGGTAAAATGCATGATAACATGTAAAATAACAAATAAATGTTAATGGAACGATTTTTATATTTTTAAACATAAATTTTAAATTACAAAGCAAAATTATTTATTTTCGTATTAGATATTTTAATATATTTAATTTTTTTTTAATATTATGTTTTTAAAATTACATTTAGTTTTACGTATACAATAGTATTATTTTATATACTAAATCACAAACCAAGTGATTTAAACACGTTTTCATTGTCGGGCGTAGATTTAAAAATAAATAAAATTGTTATAGAGAATAAAGATTTTAAATAAAATTAATTAAAGAAAAAAAATAAAATATATTTATAGGACTCTTTCTGCCCTTTTGTTTGTCAATTAATTTCCTTTTGTGTTTATTTATAAATAGCACTTAAAGATTAAAAAATTGACAAACGCTTGTTGAACGAATTTTACGTAAGGTGTACGTAAATTTTTTTGTAAACAATGCTAGTACAATAAATATAATTATTATGTTTAAACTAAATGTAATTTAAAAAAATAAAAAAAAAAATTAAATTATAATTTCAAAATAAATATAAAAATTTACTTCTCTTTTAATGGCTGGTAAGGTGAACAGTTACATTGGATTTAAATTTTATTTTTAAGCATTATATATTATATTTAGTGTATAATATAATACTATATATTATTTTTACGAATAAATTGTAATATTGTAAAATTAGCAATTAATTAAAAAAATTTCAAAAATTTTCCTAAACATATGTAATTATTTTCTTTTTTTTTATTGTAGTATTTTATAAATTAATAAATCAAAGTTTATTGCCTCAATTTAATTTTTCATTTACAAAAATATTTTAATTTTAGTTGTAATATTCTGAATTAAAACAATTAAATTTTGAATATTTTATCTCTCCATTTAGAATACTTCATTTCTAATTTAGTAAATAGATTTAATATTATTAATTATGGAAAATATAGATTGGAAAATTAATTAATCAACAATAACACAGAAAATATAATATATTTGAAAAAAGGAAAATTATCTAAATTTAGAAAGTTAGTATTAATATAAAACGCAAGCTTATGGAAGTTAATCAACTTAAATTATCATTATTATTTTATTAACAAGTAAAATTTTTATTTCGCATTAATAATATTGAATCAAGAATATCAAGAGTTTTTCTTATGAATTTATTTATGTAAATAATATATTTTTTTTTTTTTGCGAAATATAAATAATACTATCACTTTTAAGAAGCTATATATAGGAGATGATCATTAAATAATTTTAAATTAAAATAAATAATGTTATTTAATAAATTTATAACATAAGTTTGTTTTTGTTGTAAAAAATATACGGCACATAATTATGTATGTATACATTCACGTATATGAAATTGTAATATGAAAATGTTTTTTTATTACACAAACCAAAAAATAATTATTTTAATTTCATACATTCGCATTTAATGTATTTTAAAATTATGTATATGTGAATATATAAATATAAATTAATATAAATTTTATATAAATAGAAGAATGCAAAATATGTATTTGAAATTAAATGGGACTGAAAAACATAACATTTATATAATGTATATCGTGCACATATTTTTAATTATTTTTATTTGTTGATTTTTTTTTTTTAAAAATATTTTTATATAAACAACAATATTTTTGTTTAGTTTATTGTGTTTATATTATTGCGCTGTACAAGGTGTTTACTCATTATTAAAACTTACCTATGATCATCTAGCAGTTCTCTTTAAAGAACAGAAAAAAATTTTTATTCATTGTTTCATTTTTAACATATTAGATAAATGTATATGTGAATTTACAAAAACAAAAAAAAAAAAAAAGAATATTGTTATGTTTTTTAATTTAATGTTTAAATTTTTCTTTAATATTTTCAAATATAATTTAATTTGTAATATTGTATTAAGTATTTATGTATGAATGGTTGGATTTGATATTGTGCCTGTGTAATGAGAATATTACACATAAGAATAAAGTTCAAAATTTATTATGAATGCTTTTTTTGGTGTTTTTAAATGAACATAAAAATTAAATAAAATTAAATGTGCCTACAATATTCGTCAATTTTTATATTGAGAATTATTTAAAAAGAATTTCAAAATAATTTATTTTTAATTTATTAATTAAAACTTAGCTTTACATAATTAATTTAAAATTGTAATATGTGATATTAATTATTTTGTTATAAGCATTATGACTTTTTTTATTTGTTTAAATAAAAAAAGGAAATGCTATAAAATTATTTAATTTTTTTTATGAAAATATTTTTGTATTCGCATAATTGGAATCTGACGAATTCTTAAAATGAAATTTTATATGCGAATTACCAGCAAAATTTAAATTAAATAGAGAAATCAATAATTTTTTTATGTAAATATAAAATATTTGTAATTTTTTTTTTTTAAATTAATTGTGTTATGTACATATATTAAGAAGAGCAAGCCTTAAGACATTGTTGTATAGGTATAAACATGATATAAAAAATATAAACAATGTGAGGAACAGAGTTTGGTTCTAGCATTCCTGGTGATAAATAGTCATTCTAAACGAAGGGTTCTCGTTGAATTATTTAGGAAAAATTTTTATATAATTTTTAAATACTTTAAGGTATTGCAAAATTTAAAGTTCAATTGAGAATCAAATGCGCATATGATCGGAAATTTGGTTTTTATATGAATTGAAAAAGTGCATATTATATGAAAATGTAAGAATAAGGTCTAATATTAAGTATACTTTGACTTTACGTGAATTATGTTTTATTCTATAATTTGATCTTCAGATGAAATTATTGCATATTCTATGAGATTTTTAATTCCAATGGTTTTCGTGAGTGTGTACAGCTACAATATTCTTTTATCTAGTGACATTAGATATTAATTGCATCTCAAAATAAATTATGGTTCTACAAATTTATATAGTTTTTGTGAATATTAAATTATTTTTTTATAATTAATGAAATTTGTTTTTTATCTGTATCTATATATATGTGTACGTACTGTACGATTCTTATGTATGTATAGAAAATTATTTGCATAAACTCAAAACTTAATTCTTAAATAAAAATTCAGAAAAAATTTAATTTTATCAAAAAAAAAAAAAAAAACCTTAATATTAGTCAAACAAAACGAATTAAAAAATTAATTATTTATAAAATATAAATATATATAAATTATAAGGAGTAAGAATATACGTGTAATTAAAGGAATAAATATCGTAGATTAAATATTAAAAAATTAAAAAATAGTAGATAGATAAACTGTTAAGAAAAGTAAAGAAATTGAAAACAAAATAAATAAATAAAATTCAATTTAATAAACATAAAAGATTAGGCAGAGTGCACACGTCAACAATATTATTGATAGAGCTACTGGTATAGATAAAGTAATATAGAATAAAATAATGGAAGGGATTAAAATTGGGCTGGCTCCTTTCGAATAAACGAAAAAAGCAGATTCAAATTTTGTTGAAGAAGAAGAAGAAGAAGAACCATCATAACTTTCACCGTTACCAGTTGATGAAAAATCGGTTCTGTTTTAAAATGAAAATAAAAAAAAAAAAGAATACCACAACAGAAAAAAAAAAACAAAATGACACTATGAAAAATTATAATAAAAAATTAAACCAAAAAAATTAAGAAAAAAAACATGTGTTTTTTAAAAAATCAAATGTCTGTCTTTCGAATATAAAGTAGATTAAAGTATGGTTTTTTGAAAATTTTTGGTATTAGACGTTTTTGGTTCTGATGTGCTTACAAACAATCCCTGTAATTTCATTCATTTTAAATTTGTACAAATTTTTTTTCTTTTGAATGATGTACAAATTTTCGGCATTCGCTGTTGTTATAACAATAGTTCCGAACTCATTTACAAAAAAATAGTTTAATAATTTTTAAATATGTAGTTCGACTACAATTGTTAAATAAAAATAAACTGAAATTAAGTAGAGTCTACTTTTTAGAAGTTATTTGAAAAATGTACGAAATATTGAAATTTTTCTATTGCCAAAACATTTCTTAGTAATTTTTTTTAAATACGATATTTGTATTCTAAAATTCGAAAAATAGTGTACCTAGTAGACAATTATTATAGGCAAAAGTGAGTTGTTTTACTAATTCGAAAACGTCACTCCTAATTAGTTTCGATGGTATTATTCCAAGTGAAAATAAAAGATATATTTAATATAAGTGTTAATTTAAATGTTTCTGTCGATTGTTTATATAAAATTTAGAAGTTCCTAACAAATTAGTCTTATTATGAGACAATTCTATAAAAGCTTGAACGTTTGAATTTAAGAATAATTAAAAATGATTTTATGTAAATACTTGAAGATAAATTTACAATTTTTTATAAGATGAAATAATACAAATAAATTTTATTGTAAATTTTGTAGGAGTTTCTTTATTTAATAGTTTATTTTTTCTTAAAAAATTTGAAAATGAAAAATAAAAAAACTGTATATGGAGTATGATTTTTGAAAATTGAAAATTTGTTATTGTATGTGTTAATATATCGTAAATGAATTTGTTATATAATTTAGAATTAATCAGAAATTTTCTTACCGTAATCGATTTTCTTGATCTTCTAATTTGATTTTATGTCGTTTTTCTAATGTTTGTAATGCATCTTCTTTTTCAGCAGCCAATTGATCCCATTGTTGTTCTAAAGCAATATATTTTATTTTAATATATGATAAAGATTAAAAATATAGAATTAAAAAAATTGAAATTCACTTAAAAGTCTTCACTGTGTATATGATAAATTAAAAAATATTACTTCTAATAGAATCTTTTTGCAAATATAGTAATTTCAATTTAAATTTTTAAATTTTAAAATAATATATGAGGAGTCTTTAAACTGTTTTTACAATCGTTACAGATTCTTAGTGGATGACAACTTAATTTAATGGATTTAAAAAGACTTTTTATATGAAATTATTTTGATTTTGGATGATATTGGCAACAAAAGTACTTGAGGTTGCATTATTAATACACATTTCCTTACATAACGAAGAATTTTGTAATAGAAAGCCAATTGCAGTTAAAACTCGATTCTTAATCTCTTTATAATTTTTAATTACATTTTTGTTCTATAAACTTTAAAATAGAATTGATTGTGAATATGAGATACCGGTTAACTTTGTAACATAAATAGCTTTTATAAAATTTTTACCAAGTTGTAAACGATGCCTTTCTGCTATCTCTTGTGTTTGATTAGCCATTTCTTTTTTAAAATTTTGTTTGATTTCATTAATACGCCTTTGAAAATCTGCTTCCATTTCAGCTTTTTCCTCTTCGAATTCTTTTCGTAAGTTTTCTAAAAATACAATTTAGTTAAAATAATAAATAATATTTTTACAATATTATTTGAAAATTTTTATTTTCATTCTATTTACCTTCTAATTCCAATTTTTTATCTAATTCTCTATTCATAGCTTGTTGATATTCTCTATCAGCCTTATCTAAATGTATTCGAGTTTTTAGAATTTCTTCATCTGTTTTATCACGAAGTTCTAAATATTTCTCAGTTTTTTCTTGTAATTTTTCTGAGACTTCTTCAAGCTTTAAAATTTTTTTAGAAAAAATATATTTTAGTTAAAAAATTTTTGATTTTTGAAATAAAGATATTTTTTCCCGAATGGAGCAATTGTTTGTTACCTGTTTTCTAAGCTCTTCTTCATTACTTGTATATCTATTTGTTAAAACTTTTAATTCTTCTATATGTTCAGCTTGTAATTTATTCATATCAGAAAGCCGTTCTTCTGAATGAACTGCTTCTAATTCATTAGTCAGTCTTGTCATCTCTGTTCTATAATTTCATTATTTTCATGCATACATTTTTTTTTAGTATATTTTTTTTGAAATAATTCTAATATGCATTTTTTATTTTTATTAAACTTACAATAATTTGTCCTCCCAAATTGTTGCTACTTCTCTTGTAGCTTCATCTATTTTTTGGATCATTTCTCTATCTTTGAACAGGAGTGTACTAAAATATAATATTGTATATGAATGGGTATTTACATGGCATGAATGTACATATGTATGATTTTATAATGATATTTTGGATTTTATTAGAAATTATTAAAAAAAATATTGATAGGGATAATAATTACATTTTGTTTACATACTTATGTATAACTAATGACAAAAGCTTTTTAATATTACAAGGAATAAAAAAATGAAAAAAAAAAAAAACATTTGAAGTCAAAAATTACAATAACAAATTAATGAACAATTTTTTGTTTCAGAATTACATAAGGATCAACAAAATCAACTATAAATACTTACTTATCGCAGAATAATTTAATTTTTCTAACTTCTTCAATTTTACTTTCTAAGTCAATATTGGCAGCTTCTAAGTCATTCTTTAATTCTTCAATTTGTGCATGCATATATGTTATTGATTCACGTTGTTCATTTGTAAGACCACGTAATTGTCTTACTTCAGCTTGTAAATTTTTCAGTCTTTCATTATAACCTTCACCTTCAGCAACTTTTTCTTCTAATTCTGCATTACGCTCTAATGCTTCTTGTTTTGCTTTTTCGGCAGCTTCAATTTTTTCTTTACATTTCTTTTGCATTGATCTTAATTGATATTCACAATCCGTTAGTAATTGTTCTTCATGTTCTAAAATATCAAATTGACAATTTATTTATGATAAAAAATTTTAAAATGTTTTGATTTCAAATGAAAATTACCTTGATTATGATTTCTTAATAATTCAAATTCTTTTTGCCATTTAATTTCCAATTCTTTACGTTCTTCAATTGCTTTATCTAAAAGTTCTTGTAAATTTTTCAATTGAGCATCTTTTTCTTCACATAATTGATCTTTTTCGGTTCGTAAATCATCAACTTCACCTTTTGCTGTTGCCAATTGTGTTTGTAATGTTGAAGCCAATTGACGAAGTTTATTATATTTTTCTTCGAGTTCTTTGTACTTGTCCTCAAGATTTTCTAAAATTATTTTAAAAAATTTTAATTAATTTAATTATTTAATTGGTATTTTTCTATATTTTACAATATTGTAATTTAATTTACCATATTTAATATTAAATTCATCTTCTTCATCAAGATGCTTCTGTCGTAAGCGTTCTTTTTCATCTTCAATTGTTTGTAGACGTTTTCTTACAGAAGAATGTTCTTGTTGAATAGCCTGAATTTCCCCGTTCAGTCCTAAAATTAATATATATACATTAAAATTAATATTTAAATAGAATTTTAATTAAATTATTTAATATTTTACGTTCAATATGCCACGACTTTAATGAAATATCTTGTTCTAATTGATCGATTTTCATTTGTAGCTCATGTGCTCGTTCTTGTGCGCTAGAGGCATTTTTTTGTGCTTCCTGTAATTGAGCATTGAAACGTGCTTCTTGGCTAACCAATTCACGCCTATAATATAAATAAAAATAATATTATTAAGTTTCGAAATCTTTGTGTTTGTATATGTATGCTTGTTAGAAACAAAGAAAATAAACTTAAACTTAAGAAAATAAATGTTGGTGTCACATGAGGTAATAAGCACATATAAAACTAGAACAATTAGTAAGTTGTAAAACAAAGCAAAAGCGAAAGTTTGCAATGTTAAACAGCATTAGAAATAAATTCATATTTATGGCTTGTGAACTTACCAATTGACCACATAATTCCAAAATTAAAAAAACTTTTATAACATATTACTAAGTATTAGAACAAATAACTTGTATATAATATAACAGAATGATTTGATATATTGAAATGAGCAAATCTAATGTAGAAATTTGAAGAGAACTTTTGTATAACTATTAATAATCTCAGTATAAATATAATAATTATTATTGTTATACTTGAGGTATTTTACTTTTCGGTCATCTGAGTCTCATATGATACATAAATAAATAACATATATTACTCGTAGAAGAGATTTTGTTAAGAACTAACAATCTGTTATACAACCTGTTTGGCATAGTTTTTGTTAGAACAAACATTAAAATTCAAATTTACTCTTAAATGTTTTCGAAAAAACTGTATGAATATTGCTTAGGTAATTCGATATTTCAATATATTGTTATACACAATTTTGTATATAAATATATAGGTACAATTATTATTTTATTTGAGAGGAAGTGTGTTTATAATCAATCTCTGACTAATAAAATAAAAAATAATTTAATGTATAGGAACATTTTTTTTTTTGGGAAAATTTATTTATAACAATTTATTTAAGTTTTTTGATACATATATATTTTTTGTTTGTGTATTTCTGAAAATAAATTGATGACCTTGAAGAAACTATGTATTTAATAAGACTATATGAAATGTACTCATTAATAACTTTCTTCATTTCATTGCCAAATAAAAATTGAATTCAATTTTTTTTTTTCAAAATTGAAGTAGACATTTGTTTATTTTCGTTTTTATTTCTTCATTTCGGAAAATAATTAAACAGTTCGATCCTATATGAACGTATGTATGTATGTATACAAATTACTTATTATTACTTTGATTAATATAGTATAAATTATATAAAATAATTAGAAATGTGTCTAGGTACATATGTAAATACATAATTGAAACTGAACGCTGCCATTTTATATTTCTTGATTTTATTGAAATTAAAATAAATAAAAAATCAAATTAAAAATATTTACATATATGAAACTATTAAATAATATAAAGGAACACAAAACACATTTTGTTATAAATTGTTATACGACTGGTTCTCTACTGAAATATTCAAAATTTTTGAAAGGGCAGATACCTGTTAGTATAATTAATTTTCGTAGTTGCTTGTAAACAATGAAACGAGTTTAAATTGCGTGGAAACAGTTTGTAAATCTTAAAAAGCATGAAGAATGGCTGGTACAAACTCTAAACAGGCTAAACTCCAATTCTTCACAAATTGAATTTCTATTTTATATTTTCAAAATTTTTGTGTGTTTTTTTGTTTTGTTGTCAAAAAATTTAAATTTTGCTTAGGTGACACTTTATTAAATTTTTTTTTTCTAATACCTGGTTGTCTTTAAATTGTAATCCTGTTCTGCATTCTATTACAACTTAAAACACTACATATATATATGTAAGTATGATACATATACACTTTAAAATTCTTTTGTAAAGTGGAATTTTCGTAGTCATTGTGCTATGTCAGATATTTTGCGGCTACATAAGCATTAAAATAAAATTCTTGAAATATCGTTTAATCATTTGATTCATCATTTGACTTGTGCCCTTGTGTATAACTCAAAATCAATAACATTCAACAATGCACTTTACAAAAACTTAAAATAACAAAAAAGAAAGCTCATTACACTCAAAAGTTATTCATAAAAATTGAAAAAAATGATCCTTTCACATTTCATTTCTCTTCAGTTTACTCAACACATATTTAATTTCTAATTAACATTCGATTTCATGGAAATTAACCTTAACCTCAATTATTTTTTTTTTTCGTATGAATAAGGAAGTGTTTTATAAAAAAAAAATATCATTGTATAGCCAAAATTTAGGAAAAATTTGAGTCAAAATATTGGCTTCCATTAAGAACTTAATACAGAAATGATAAACAGTAAATAATATATGTACTTATGTAGAAAATAAAACATCATCATCATCATCATCATCATCATCATCATCATCATCATCATCATCAATATCAACAACAATATTCTCATCATCGCATTGTCGTCATCATCTTTATGTGTTTTGTTGTTTAAAAGCATTTTTCCTATTTTAAAATTTTGTTTGAATACTTTAGTCAGAAAATAGTCATATTAAACTGAAAATATTATGTGATATTGTGATGATATTACTTGTACTTGTATATTTAAAAGTAAATAATAATATTTTATAAAATAGAAACAATAAAAATAAAAAATTCTATTTAAAATATTTTAAGAATTCTTTGTTTAGAATATTTAAGTATAAAAATAAATGAAGTACAAATTTTTTATCTTTTTTTAATTCAAAATTTCTTAAAATACTTATAGAGATGGTGGAATGTTGTTATACTAACTGTTAAATTAAATATCTTAAGTATAATTTTGAAATTCTTTAAAAAGAATTCATTAAGGGAGGTTATTTAATGAAATTCAATATAACAATTTAGTAAATTTTAAGTTATAACAGATTTAGAACTCAGTTGGTAAGTTCACAGAACATATGTAGGTATAAAAATAAAAATTTCGAATAAATTCCGTTTCTTTCAAATTCTCCTGTAACTGTGTAAATGAATTAAACTGCTACATACTTGGGGACGCACTTAATTCTCCAGCTCCAAAGCAGGTCAAATACAGGTCAAAATATTGTGTTTAGTGTATAAAATTAACACCGTTATAATAGTTTATATTCAATAATATGCAAACTGTTCTACATTTGAGTGTGCATTTTCCCAAAAATTCTTAATTTATAAGAAATTTAAATAACGGCTTTGATTAGAAAAGAAATGGTTTGTGTCTAATTAAAAAATTGGTATTTGGTCAATCAATTTACGGCATTACTACATATGTACATTGCAAATTTCACCACAAATTTTATTTGAAATTTCATTCATTAGTCTAACTAAAATAAACTTTATTTTTAACACATTGTTTGCTTGTTGCAACACTGGCATAACTCAAAATTTGCATATGAAAGACGAATTTCAAATTTTTGCAATTAATATATTTTTCTCGCTATATACTAGTATATATATACATTATATACTAGTATATGTATATACTACTATATATATATAGTATATATATATATATATATATATATATATATATATATATATATATATACAATATATATATATATAGTATATATATATTATAATGCATCGCTATATATATATATTATAATGCATTACAAGGGACAATTTTCAAGCTAGAGAAATGGTGTTTTTCTACAACAAAGAAATATTTTAATTGCTTATTTCTGTATAAATAACTCAGAAATCGTATTTTTTGAGTTATGCTACTGTCGCAGCAAATAAAACGAATTTTTATTAAAATTTTAATTATTTTTTAAGCAACAAAGTATTTTCTAAATGCTAGAATTTTTAATAACCAATTCACAAAATTTATTTAATTGATTATTGAGAAATTTACTATTTTAAAATTTTTAAATGAATGAAATTTAATTAATATTTCAAATTAAAAATTAATTGTTTTTATTGAAAATTTGAGTGGAATTCCATACAATAATAGAAATAGAATTTTTAGTAATATAATTTATTTAAAAGAATTTTCGTCTATTTGATCTAAAAAAATAATTTTAGAAAAATTATGTGTCACAGAATTTTAACGGTTTCATTTTAAATGCATGTAGATAATTTAATGGACAATTAGTCAGGATTTAAAAAAATTGAATGACAATTATTTCTGATTAATATCTGAAAATCAAGAAAAGAGTTACCATAATTTTTGAAAAGCAGATTATTGTATAACATTGAAAATGATATGCGAAAATATTAGAGATTTTCGTAAACGCAATACTGCAAAACAATAACGTAATGAATATGTAATACGTATTTTTAACTATTCTATAAAAACAAAGCAGTTTCTGTGATTAAACTGCGCTACTAGTACTAATTTCGCTATACTTAGAAAATTTAGCAATCTTTATCAACAAACCAGATTATGAAGATAAAAATAACACTGCTTTCACAATACGAGTATACCGTGACATATTGCGTTTTTGAAAAGACCTAGCATATTAAATAAATATAATTATGAATGTGGTGAATTGAAGTTTAAATACACACCATAGATTAGAAGTTATGTATGTAATCATTTTGTTTTGAAATATAAATAACATTAATTTAAATTTTAATGTTATACATGAATGTTATGTAATAGCAAGTGTTGGGCATATTTGAGTTTATTTAAAGCAAAATTTTATTGTATTAATAAACTAAATTCCTATTGATTTTTATTTTATTTATTTACATATATATAACAGCAAACTGTTTTTAACGCAATAGAATATTGTAACGAATTCGAAACATACATTTATTATAAATTGAATAAACACAAGAATAAATTTGTATTTAACAGGAAACATTAAAAAATTTCAGTATCAGAAATGAAAAAAAAAAAATATTTACATTTATACTAAAAATGTTATTAAATCAATACAGTTATTCTGTACAATGTTGCAAATAAAATACAAAAAGCGGATGTTTATAAGAATATGTCAAAAATTTCTATCAATGTCCAGAATCACAGATGATATTTTTTACTTATATCAGGTTGTTGTACTCACTCATTTGAACTCAAATTATTTTTACTATTGTGTATACAATAGGTAGGTTATGTGATGGCAACAAATTTTGCATATCGAGTTTTCGGTGGGAATGCACTTCTCCATGGTAAGGAACTGTAAATAAACTATTTTTAGCAACCTGTCGGTCTGTCAGTCTGTGTGTG